TAGAGCAGCTAAACTGTTAGAATCAGAATTATTTTACAGCCATTGAAAGTGACAGAAGTCACAAATTGGAAATATGCTTTGGCTCAAGCTACAACCGAGCTTTGGAGTCACAATAGAGTAGAAATAGATAGATGCTTTCAAAAATAGAGATTATTCTTAGCCAGGACCATTTCCTTCATATTATGTCAAAGTATTTACTTCAAAGGTAGATAAAGTTCATTACAGTTCATGCACAGTTTTATTAGATACTTGAAGATCTGCAGTTCATCCAGAGTGATCATGGGCCTCTTGTCTGCATCTCTGATCAGTCTTCTCCTTGTTTGAGATGAAAGTTTGGAGGGACGGCCGGGTCTTGGTAGATTTGCAGTGGTCTGATACTCCTTCCATTTCAATATAACTGCTTGCACAGTGCTCCTTGAGATCTTATTGTATCCAAATCCGGCTTTAAACTTCTCCACAACAGTATCTCGGACCTGCCTGGTGTGTTCCTTTGTCTTTATGGTTCTCTCTGCGCTTTAAACAGAACCCTGAGACTATCAAAGAGCAGGTGCATTTATACGAAGACTTGATTACACACAGGTACATTCTATTTATCATCATCAGTCATTTAGGACAACATTGGATCATTCAAAGATCCTCACTGAACTTCTGGAGTGAGTTTGTTGCACTGAATGTAAAGGGGCCGAATAATATTGCACGCCCCACTTTTCAGTTTTTTATTTGTTAAAAAAGTTTAAATTATCCAATAAATTTTGTTCCACTTCACGATTGTGTCCCACTTGTTGTTGATTCATGACAAAAAATTAAAATGTTATATCTTTATGTTTGAAGACTGAAATATGGCGAAATGTTGAAAGGTTCAAGGGGGCCGAATACTTTCGCAAGGCACTGTATCATATATATATATATATATATATATATATATATATATATATATATATATATATATACATATATATATATATATATATATATATATATATATATATATATATATATATATATATATATATATATATATATATATATATATATCTGGTCTATATATAAAGCTCTGGTCTGTACTGTCTGTATTGCAGTGAAATTTACACATAGATAAAATATAAATAAATAATTGTAAACATAAAACAACAACTGTTTCAGACCTACTTAGGACTTGCTGCCATTGAATTGGCTTCTTAGGATTTGCCTTTCTGGAGGTATTTGGCATTTGCCTGTGGTATACCGAGGTACATTTAACTGTCCTCAATATCTGATATTGTTTCCTCTAGGAGTGGGAGTGAGATCCCTTCTGTGTGGACTACCTTGCCTCTCCGAGTCACCATCCTGCTACATTTCTGGCTGTGGATTCTGGTGGTGTGTCCCTCTCCTTCTTGGGGGACAACTGATCTTTTCTCCGTTCCTGAGGCTGTACCATAACCAGTCTGGTTGATTATTTGGCTTAGAGCGTTCAGGCCGATGCAGAACAGCGGTGGAGACAGAGTATCTCCTTGGTTAACTCGGATGTTAACCCCCTCCTTCTTTCCGTTTGGAGATGTCTTGTAGTATACTGTGGTTTATTGTATTTTTATTTCTTTGTTTGTCTTCAAGGTCGAACTTTTCAATGTTCTATATATTCTATTCTTATGGTATATTCTCGTTCAAAAGTCAAATATACGCTTATGTACATTTTGGGTAAAAAAATGACTGAAAGCTCATTTATAGACAAATGAATAAACCCAAGGCACTTCTGGCTAACCACAGTGACTTACATAACACCTCAAACATAAAGACTGTCCACACCAACTGCAGCAACCTTGGGAAGATTAAAACCAGCCCTGATGTACCCCTTGTGTATTTGAGGCAGGACCTCAGATTGATCTCCGAACTACCAGAGATATATCAAAAGTTAAAGAATATTTTACAAATGTATGATAGCGACCTGCGTGCGACCCCTGGGCTAAATCAAAATGACACGAGGACATGGTTCACATAAGCACATACCCTGAGCACCTATAAACTAAGCAGGCAGCTATTGATCCAGGCAGCTCCCTCCAGGCCTGGTCCGAGAGAAGCAATATTAATACACAGGAGGTGGGGGGTTGTTGTTGATTGGATATCATACGGATGTCCAATCAAGTCGCAATGTGAATGTTGGCAAAGACAGCACATTTGCAAACTGCAATGCAATGCATTCAAACCTTTGTATCTACTCTTGTGCTCTTTTTATTATGATCTGTTCTTGTTCTATCATATCAGTATCAAGATATCCGGCATGAATATTGAGACATTTTGTCCATAACGTTGAGCCCTAATCCAGACACTTATGTGCATCAAAGCTCGTCACTGAGCCTCGTCTGAACACTGTATGAAGTACTTTGAGAATGAGCTCAAGATTCTCAAAGAGAAGCACATCTTAAAACAAGGCTGTAATGCTCTTAGTGTCCAGGTGAACAAAGCCAGGGAAGCTGTGGAGAATAGATAAATAGATAAATAGATAAAGATATGACAAATTTTATCCTCCAAGAACGACTGGTTCTAAAAGATGAGAAAGCACAGACTCTCCTGGATATGACCCAGGTCCCATAAGGAGACCGCTCTGTAAAGGCAGTCTCAACAGAACCTGTTGCATTACTGAGGAGTCAGGTGACCCAGCTCCAGCTGTCTTGGCAAGAAGCCAAACAGCAATACGCTCCACAACAAGAAGCTACTGTTATCAGATAGATAGATAGATAGATATTTTAATGATCCCCGTAGAAGAAATTCAGGTGTCCAGCAGCAGCAGAAACTAACAAAACAAACAAAAGAAATACATAGACAATTTTATAAGTAGCTAACAATAGTATTCAAATGCAACAGCACTTTATGTCACAGCAGAAGAGGTGGTGTAGCTGCTTGGTTGGGACCATTTTTTCTGCTCTGTTCCAAAGTGAGATGCCAAATGCTTTGTTAGCATTTTTCAAAAAGTTAGCATTCTTGTTAGGATTTTTGGTTGATTTGCTTATTTCGGACCATGAATCTTCTCTGCTCCGAGCTGGACCAGGGCAAAACCATGAACACTGTACTGTAGCAACATCTCATGTAGAAAAAAGCCACAAAAATAACAATTGAAAACACAATAAACAAACAAAAAGTATGCAAAAACATTTGCATTCACTAATTAAAATTTTAAGTTCTTTGGTACGTGTGTGTGTGTGTGACATTTGGTGTGTCTTTGTGTGTATCTCTGGGGGCTGTGTGTGGATTTGGCGGTGAGTCTGGTCAGCAGTTTATGTGGCGTCCAGGCTCACAGGTCAAGGGCCAGGAGGGACACCCTCAGAAGGTCTCCAATCAGCCCCCAGAATTGACTGCGTATACATCGGGCCGGTGTTATGTTACCTTTAAACCCAGTTTACATGGGTCCTATAACACGCATGGATCTAAAGTATGAGCTGTAATGCCAATACATTTTTTATGTGTGTTAATCAGGGTTAGACCTTAATGCTGTGTGTCTTTGGGCTGGTCTTGACTGGGCTTTACATCAGGGGGCAAAGGGAGGGATTGAATTAATAAAGATCTATCAAGGGTCTGGTGAAAATCTCAAGCCGACCAAAAATCAACACAAGACGCACGTAACAATAAGTATTGTTTTATTAAAATCTCCAGTCTCATATACAAAAGTCTCTCAACAAGTGTTATTCTTATAAATTAAACTTTTTATAAATGTACATATGCATTTACAGTCTGATGTTGGTGATAAGAAGGCGACAATCACAGATAAAGTGGTCTGAAAATTAGTGAAAGGAACAGTGTAAAACAGTCAACGACAGACCAAGTTTTTACTTTTTACCCTTGAACGAGTCAAACAAATATTTTGAAAAAGGACTCTCTTTTTATGTTTTAGCATATACTTGGTTTTCAGTAATCTTCTTAGAACTCCACAGTAATTTGTAACTTGCATAATCTTGGGTGAAGCTGGTTAAGATATGTGGTTCTTTTTTCCATATCAATATTTATTATTATTAGTATTGTCAATCGACACTACATAACGTCAGCCGATGCAGTATATTGCGATCATATACTCTAAATTTGTATGTTTCTATCACTCAACATGTTAAAGAAAACAGAAGTACCATCTCTGTTAATGTCATCACTGTACAAAACACATTTCCAAATGTAACGAACACTTGAGAAACATACATTTTAGACACTTTGGATGTGTAAATTCAACATGTTTTGGCCCCTGTATATTGTGGTATCTGCTCATGTCAAACAAAGAACAATTAATATATTTACTAAATTTACCAAACTACGGAAGTCTAGGCAAAATCTTTTGTCAAATCGTTAATATAACAATCTTGACGATGTTTCAATGAAATGAGTGGTCTAACCTTTCATATGTGCACTTAAACCTGTTAAAGCTGGGGTTCCATACCATAGCTTTCACACGCATCTTCAGAGAGGACCACCCTCACTCAGCCAATCAGCTCTCATCCCAATGTGTCAAATGGCGACTCAAGTTAGCATATTACAATATGTTTTCTAGCAAGCGGAAGACAACTGTCTACTGTTTAAACAACATACATGTGTTATTTTAGAAAAAAATAAGTGAGGTACCCCAGCTTTATCTGCCACACCATTATATTATCAAAGAACCATCCATCCAGCAGCTGTTCTGTATAAACTTTGGTAATTTCACTTTTGATGATATTTGGTTTTGCACAATATCACAGTCTCCAAAAAAATTAGAATATATTGTTCAAAAGTTCATTTATTTCTGTCATTCAACTGAAAATGTTTAACCACTATATGATATCGCCTCCTTGCATGCAGTGGCATATGCCTTTGCTTGATGATTATAACATGGCTTACAGTCCATTTTAAAATATTATTGGTGAAATGAAAACTGTGAGCCAGTTATATATATTTCACTTTGCTTGTAATGAGTCTGCAAAATCAGTTTGACATTGTAAGTTGAATTACAGAAGTAAATGGACTTTTGAACGGTATTCTTATTTACCATTGTTTCACCTGAGCACACGTCAGGCCCAGCCAAAGTCTTGCCCAGTCATTTGGTAGAACTTGAGATTGAACGGCCTGTAGAAGTCCCTGAGCCGCAGCAGGACGTGCGCGGGGATCTGTGGATGGGGCCTGCCCTTAGATTTCCCCAGGCACCGCGGCCGGCTGCTCCCCTCTGGCTTCTTCAGGCAGGGGAATCCTTTGGTCTGGTTGAAATAGAAGTGCTTGTCCGTCACCACGCGCTTGAGTCCCAGAAAGTCCTGCACGCGGCCCATTTCCCCCGCTGGATCCGTCACCAGCCTCTCCCCGCTGACGAAAAGAAACTTGGAAAGCGGAAAGTAGCGGAGCCAGTTCTCGAGATGCTTGGCGTAGATCCCGATTCGAACCGCGCTCCATGACGTGTCGATGAGGCCCGTGGTTGAGTTGCGGAAGGCGAGGTTTTGGAAAGAAGGCAGTCCCGGGGATTTGGTCAGGGTTTGAGTGTAATCGGACACAGCGCGCGTCACGGGGTCCCGGACCACCACGATGAGCTTGGTGTGGCGGTCCATGGAGAAGACGCGGCGGGGGGCTTCTTTGGTGATGAAGTAGCTGGGGGTCTTCTCCATGGTGATCTGGCCCTCCAGCGTCCGGGGCATCAGCGTTCTGTGTAAGAGAACAAACTGGGTTAATACGTGTAGAAATTCAGGCTTTGCAAAAAATCGAATCGTGAGCGATCGTTGTGATGATGTTTTGGTGAAAAATCACTTTGGGATTCACACATTTTTCTTAAAATGTAGCTATACTCGCAACGCTGCGGTTAATAATCCTTACTTAGTTACATTAATATTGATGTTCAGTGTGTGGGGGGGGGATATATACACATTCATTAGAATAATACAAGATTCTTCAAGACACACTTTTCACTCAGGGAAACATTTGTGGGAAGCTGGGTCTCTACAGAATTGATGCTACTTTGGCGCCAAAAGGCTGGAGCTCCCAACAAATAACACAAGCTATGTAACTAGTCCCATGCTCTCTGTTGTTCCATGTATTTGCCCTCACTCAGCCAATCAGCTTTCAGTATGTAAAAGACAAAATGTTTTCCAGTAAAATAAAGACAGTGCGCTAGGGTCTGATTTTTTCAATTCAATTAATTAACGTTTAGACCTAAATCACAACAGTAGTCATCTAAGAGTAATCATCAAATGTTTTGGTTGGCCAACACAGATCAGGGAATCAGTTCAAAAACAGGAAATGCGACAGTGACAAACACATAGGAGCCTTTGGTCCATAGGGGGCCGATGACTAATGTTGAAAAATGTGAACAAATGTTTATAAATGTGGATACATCTCAAATGTCCTGGATCTTGGACCAATGTCCTATAAGACTCTTCTGCATACTACACAAAATTACTTAAACAAGATTATTTCTGTTTGGGCCTTTCATAATGAAACACAGAATCAACCAGTCTGTAGGTAGTTTCATACCATAATGCCAAAACAAAGACTACTATAACTAATACTACCATCAAAGTGGAAATAGCATTAGACCCATGATATTCCCCTTCAGCTGTGTGTGCTTCTTCTGTTGAAAAACCACAGTTCCATGTCAAGCAAACTCATTTCCTCTCATCTCTTTACTCTCTCTCATATAGGAACCCACTCTTGCTCCCCTCAGCCACATAACTGTCATACCTCGGAGCATAAACTACTGCTGCGCGCCTGGAAACGTTACTGTCGCCGCTTGCATTTTTGGTCAGATTTTTGTTTTCCATTTTCAGTTGTCAAACCCTCTAAGATCTCAGAAGAATTATTCTCAAGCTCAGATAACACTGGATATTTCTTCTTAGAACGTCCAAACTGCAGATGTGTACAATGATTATAACACAGGTCAGAAGGTTCTAATAAAATAATGAACATTCAGTTGGGGTACCTGACTTTCAAACTACAATGGCATAATTTAAAAGTCTCTTAAAACACACTTTTATAAGAACTTTAAGACCATTTTTATTATTTAATGTTATTCATGTTTTCATTGCTTTACACATTATTACATGTTTTTTCTGAGGTATCTTACGGTAAAAAAAAAAAAAAAAAAAAAACTTATACTGTATCACACCACCTCTGTATATAGTCAATTAAGAGTTCTTTTACTGATGGCTCTCTTCTTTATTATTGCTTGTACACCATAGTGAAACATGTAGCTCGATGACGCCACCGTCAAACTAAAAATAAGCAATGTAAAATACAATTAGTAACACAAAACACTAAAATAATGCTCTTAAACATACTGCACATCTAGCTGGCCTCCATTTCATACATTATTCAAACCAGGAAGTTTTTTAAAGTTTTTTAAAATGTATTCCAATGTGGTTTTACTGCAAATGACAAATAAATGAATCTGAATATAAAATTCCAGGAATGGGCAAACCAAGGGTTGAATAAGATTTGGTCAAAAGGGGAATTTGCAAGCTTCCAAAACCTTTTTATGTACCATCAAGTGGGAGATCATTTTCAGAAAAGATGAGACCAAACCTCCCGGGTGAAATTAATGCAATTACTTACAAAAATTAAAGTGGTAAAGCTATATCTAAACTGTACAAATGGTACAAAACATCAACATTGTATATTAGAGACAAATGGGTCACGGAATTTAAAGAAGACTCATGATATAAAATATGTGAAACTCAAATAACCACCTCCAGTTCTAGAAATTGGAAGTTATACTGTTGGAAGAACATGGTACGATACTTTATCACTCCACAAATTAAGAAGGCGGCATCATCAATAACTCACTCAACTTTGCTGGAGACAGTGTGGGACACGCACTAACATGTTTCTGGACTTGTATTAATGAAGAAATTGGATACAAGTTGCCAAAAACTTGGCTTGTGTGTTATTTTGGATGTGTAACAAGAAGAGACATTAAACAAGAAGATAAGTATTTGTTCAAAAAGCGATAGCACGCAAATGGTACAAAGAAGGGTCTTCTTCTTCCGCCACACTGAACCACTTGAAGGACATTGTAGAAGAAATTCCGACCATGGAGAGACTTACATTCAGCATTAAGTTGCAACGAGCAGCATGTGAAAACCACAGGAAAAAGTGGGAAATATATGTGAATGACAACTGACCCCATATTCTTTTGTATTTATTTTCTGTTGTGTTTTGTTTAATGTTACATTTTTTTTAAATAAAATGTAAGTTAAAAAACTCCCCATACTTCAGAGGTCATCGCTCAAAACATGTATGTACTGTAAATCAAATTGGCTCTTCATAGCAAACTTCCACATAGCCTCAATTAGCGTCACAGAAACAGGTAACAAAACAAAGGTTCCTACCCAAGGATTTTCACAATAAAACAACAATAAATTCTACTACAACACATCAAATGAATAGTTCATAAAACGTCTTATTACAAATAACAAATGGCTGCAGAAGTAGGAGCCGTACGAGCCCGGAGTTGCTCTCCAATCCCACTTGTTGCCTTTGGCCATCTGTATGTTATTATTATCAGTCTTTTCACTACACTTAAAGCACTCGGCGGCTGTCTTCCGCCCGATCTTTACCCCTACTTAGATGACTCAGAAGCAGCGGCAAAGACATAGTACCTCCGAAAAAGTTCAACCAGCTTTGATCAAAGCGTAGGATTATGACTATTGCCTGCCAAAAGTGGATTGTATGTAACATGGTGAAACTGACAGGAAAAGGAAATAGCAATCTGTCTTGTTCTTCAAATCTAATGCTACTGTGAGGTTAATGTTCAGATTTGGAGGAGATATGTTCTGCTAAATCAACTTTTTGAGCCTTTAACCATTCTAAAACATTGTTCTCTCATCAGAAACAGATCTGGAGTTGTTTTTAGATCCATCCACGCTAAAATCAAGTACTTCTCCCACAAACATGTACTGGCCACTTCTGACTGGCAACATCATTTTATCATGTAACAGTGACTGTGCTAGGAGCCGTTTTCTACCTTTCATCACAATAATACTGCTCATAAATAAGACGGGGAAAGGAAATTGTGATCACATGGCTGTAATTGCAGCTCTTTTATTTTTTTTTTATTTGGAGACAAACAAAAAATGTGTGACCTGCCTCGGGACTACGGATGTAAACTCGCAGTTTTGCTATAATCTGGCACATTTACAATTAGTGTAGAACTTGTATATGATTGTTCATTAATGTGTGTTGTCCTGATCAAATAAATAAATGAATACAAATAAAAATCATAATATATGTCTACTGAAGATATTATAAGACGTAGATAGTCTCATTGTCATTTTTAATTCCCATTTTTAAATGCGTAATGTTTCTTCTTTAAAAGGACAGTTGAAATAAACGGTTCATTTTTCTTCAGGGAAAGTATTGAAAGTTATGAGTGCACATTATAGATGGCTTCGTGGTTGGTCCCAAAGTGCAGGGCTTGCTGAGTCGGGAGCTTTGCATGAAGCCCTGTGCAATCCAACACACACATCCAACCTGTCCCCTGGCAACAAGCTACCAAAACTACCAAAACTTCTCAAGAAACCTCTACGTTGTATATTACAGGGCTGGAACAAAGCAAAATTGAAAGAATTACGGCTTAGATCCCCCTGAGAGAAGGAACATTCCGAAAAACAATAGTGCTTTTATGGCTTGTATTAGCTTTGGGACATGTTACAGTGAACAGTTGAGGTCAGTGAACAAGTTACGAGTGATTTCTACGTTGCCAAGATTCAAAAAGTGTGACCACATGACGTGATTGGCAATAAAGTTTCCTGCCACAAAACAAAGGTCTGTTTGAATTTTTCGTTTGCATGTAAAATACGGCTGTTTCATGGCAAATTGGTATTTTTGACGCATGAATACCAATACCGTCAATTTTACCTGACTTTTGAACAACCCGCGCTGGAAAAATGCCTTGGCAGTTGAGTGAAGATTTCCAAGGGACAAAGAATCAAACGTTACATCCTTTTAATCTGCATACTTTTGGAAGCAGAGCAAAATGGACCATTAATACTGCTGTCAGTGAAGCCTGCTCCATTTAAAATGACGTTTCCCTGGATGGCTCCTAACACTGAGGCAAAACAGTGGCTGGAACATAAGGGCAAAAATATGCTTTGATTTAGGTATATTAGTTCAAGTTCCTTCCTAGATTTTCTTGAGCAGTAAAAAGAAGTAAAAAGAAAAAGTAACATTACAAATTACAAATTATATGGCATGGTGAGTTTAATACTGTAATGTTTAATGTGTGAATAGGAACATGATGGCCACTAGAAATTCCTACGGATCATGTTTTCATCACACCTTTACCGTTCGCATGTGGTGCAAGAATGCAAACAGATGTGCGTTTATCTTCTTGTGGACTGCGTACGTTTAGCCACGCTCAGACTGGGGGGGGCAAAGGTTCATTAGGGTATTGTAAAGGGGCCAAGTGCTAATAGGCTACTGTTATAAATCCAGTGCCAGGATCAATACTATCACAATCTTTCACAAAATCGAAATGAAAAAACTGAAAATGCTCCGTTTTAAATGTTTCTATTGGCTACTTTGATATTGTTCAAAATGTATCAAAAACTGCTCAGGAAATTACCAATTTCATCTTGTTCATGTGATTGTGTCCGTTTCAGATACTAGATATGGTAAAGTTTATAATCTAAATTTCAATACTTTTAACAACG